TCTGTCGAGGCTTATCAAGGCTCATCCCTCTCCCTGATGGCCTGGGATCTGGGAAGATTACGAATTCTTTCACAGTGAGAAAAGCATCTGTTAGGTCACTTCCCCGCTAGGACCGCAGTGAGCTAACAGTGATGGCATTCTATCGCCCAGTGGCATCTGAGGTCATGTTTTGAAGACGCTTTGGAGGCTACTTGTCAATTAATAAAGTTTCTTCAGGAATGTGGCAGAAATGAGAAAGAAATACTACTACCTAATGGTCCAGCTTCCCCCTTAGGCTTTACTGTTTTTTTTTTTTTTTGAGGTATTTCTTCATTCTTCTGACAAAGCATTCCTCTGATAAATCAAAGGTGACGTATATTTTCCAACATACGAGAGCCAACTTGAGTTAAAAATTTAGACATTGAGCCAACACTTAGTGATTTTCCCACTTCTTGGTCATATTCCTTAAATTCCTGACATTAAGCTGACAGCAGCTCTGAATTTCTGTATGTTGTTTACATTGGATGAATTATGACAAGAGACCTGAACATTACAACATCAACGATTATGCCATAAATTCTTCTAAAGAGTATCTTTACAGCCAGCCTCTAGGGAGGCTGTTTCTCTAAGGGGACAAGTACATATCTAGTTTAGAAAAAGAAATCACCAGAGGGGAATTCTATTCTACAACTCAGTAGGATGGATGGGACTTTGGTAACATATTTATAAATGTATAGACAAAACTATTTTCTAAATCAATCTTTCTTGGTGTACTTCCATTTTTAGACTTTCTTAAAAGGGGTCATTTTTTCTTGTTTATATCTAACTCTTAACTAATTTTACACAAAATAGTGAGATAAAGAAACAGTTAAGATGGAATAAAGGTTTTTCTATTTATAAGTTGCTTACTCAGAGCTAAATCATCCATTCGACCCTCTCAAATAGATGTTGGGAAGAATATCTATCTTCAGTACGTTACTTAATTGTCCCGTTAAGCCAAACCCACTGCAACTGCTTTGTGTCTGAGAATTCATTCATTAAAAAACAAAACAGGGTCCCTCCTGGTGGCTCAACGGGGTTAAATCGCAGCACTATGAAGCTCTTTGCAGCCCCTGCAGTACGAGTTCAATCCCAGGTCAGGGAACTGACCCACAGGGCGCAGCACACCTCTCCTGACCTGCCCACTGCTCCCCTCAGCGGTGTATTTCAGTAGATCCGCCTGTTCTGCTCCCCACTCTGTCTCTGGTGAGTCATCCCCTCCACCCCTCTGGCCTGTACCCCAGTTCTTGTATGCGTAAATGAAGAAATCTTTAAAAAAAAAAAATGCCTCCAGTGTCAGTGTCCTGCTTATTCTGCTGGTTCTGAAAAGTTACCAAGATGAATAAGATATGGACCTTGTTTGCTTTTGAGCGCCACATGGCACACCTGCAAGGGCATGAGGGGTCCCACATTCTTTCAACATATCTGAATGCTTATCACACACGGGGCCCTGCACTGTGGGCAGGTGTGCGGTAGGAAAAATACACGTTTCCTGCTACAGAGAGCTTATGATCTAGAAGGGAACACATCCCATTTATTCAGTTACACAGTCAGTGCTATCATGGAAAATGATGCAATGTTCAGGAGCATGTAACAAAGGAAATAATAGGATTTGGTGAGAAAACTGCTGGAGAATACAGCTACAGTCACTAATACAACTCAAAAACAGTCTCAGGTTTAAATTCTTTTGTAAGCAGTTCATTTTATCAAACGGGTTCACTGAAAACAAACAAACAAACTTGAAGCTGGAGTCCTGGGCTGGGGCTGGCTTCTCCTGACAAAGCCTGACTTTTCCATAAGACATACAACTTGGCAGAAATGACACAACAGGTGCCATAGACTTAGAATCTCGCAATGACACCCACTTAGGACACCCAGGACGGGCTGAATGAGCACCCCCAAAGGCCTCCGTGTTTGAATCTCCAGGACCTGTGAGTGCTACTCTTGTGGCACAAGGCCTTACAGATGCCATGAAGGGGACATCACACGGAGGGGGATGGGCTCAGGGCCTCAAGTAGCCACAAAGGTCACTCATGAAAGGGAGGCAGGCAGGGTGAGGGGAGGCGACTGACCACGAGGCCAGGGATGCAGGCCCGCCTGCAGCATCCGGAAGGAGTGGGACTGTCTATGGAGAATCCAGAAAACACCAGCCCTGTGTTTTTAGCCCCATAACCAGCTCATTTTAGAACCTGCCCTCTGGAAGCATAACAGAAAAAAAATTTGTGTTCTTTAAAACCATTACGTGGGCCCTCCCTGGTGGCGCGGCGGGTTAAAAAGCACAGAACTGAGAAGCTAAAGCCACTTCAGTATGAGTTCAATCCTTGCCTGCCCCGGAGGTGACCACAGGGTACGGCAGACCTCTCCTGACCCACCCGCTGCTCCCCTCAGCAGTGGACTTCGTCCATCTGCCTGTTCTGCTCCCCACTCTGTCTCTGGTGAAGCCTCTCATTGCCCCTGCACCTCTGGCCTGTACCCCAGTTCTGTATGCATAAATAAATAAATCTTCAAAAATATATATAAAAAAAATAAAACCATTAAGTTTGTGTGACAGTTATCAGGCAACTAATAAAATGCCCTGTTGCTTACAAAAACTACCAGGCCCTGGGGATTCTCTATGGAAAAGTTGTTTGATTGGCACTTCCTAGTCGCTGCCTTCTTCTGTTCTTCCTGTGAAAGCGAAATGGTCTCTTCCTCCTCCTCCCTTGATATTATCATCCATTCAGGGAAATGGAAAAATTAATTACAATAAATAACACGGGAGAACATTATTTGACAGTGAACTGCTCTTCTCAGTACATCTTCCTTCCTCTAAACTTCAGGATTAAGTTCTCTGACCTATGCCATGTTAGATGCAAACATGATCCAGACATAAAGCACATACTTGGCATCATCGAGAAAGTCAGGGTGTTCACGGGGGTCACTGTGGGACTTTTAAAGTGCATGATGAGGCGCTCTCCCTTGTGGTGCAATGGGCTAAAGCACTGCATTGTGAAGCTCTCTGAAGCCACTGCAGCCCGAGTTGGATCCCTGACCCGGAGGCGACCCACACGGTTTGGCAGACCTCTCCAGACCCTCCTGCTGCTCCCCTCAGCAGTGTACTTAGTCAATCTGTCTGTTCTGCTCCCCACTCTGTCTCTGGTGAATCCTCGCACCCACCACATCACTGGCCTGCACCCCAGTTCTGTAAGCATAAATAAATCTTTAAAAAAAAAATGCATGATGAACGCTGGTCATTGTTTTCTCCAGAAGGATCATCGATGCGATGAGCTGCCTGGCAGGAAGTTTTTCAGTTCCTCTTAATCTTGAATGTCAGCCTTTCCTCACTCCCCACCGAAAGGCCTAGCGTGGTGAGGGAGGCTGGCAGATCACCCTGCAGGGAAGGTGGTCCAACATACATTATGGTCTGTTTTTTGCATTTAGCTATTGAATGGATGCATGCCTCCTGCAGCAGCGATGGGAAAGCATGCCTGCTTTTACTAAAGAAATACCTTTATGATCATGAAAGTGGCTCTAGGAAGCACGTGAACCTGTTGTACTCTCACCAACAAGAACAGTTTAGCTGCAATGATTTAAAAAGTCCAGTCTGAAGCGATGGATGCTCACCCACTTTCCCGTGCCTCCCAACACTGAGAATTTTCTGTTGACCCCTCTGGATCATCTCTCATCCTGTCCTGGGCCCCAGGAGGCGGGGCCTGAGCAGCTCTCCATCAGTGGGCTTGCTGTTGCATTGTCTTTTCTGTGCTTTCTGGATGCTATGCTCACAAGTTGGTAAGTTTTTCCTTTATGACACTCTGCAGGTCCAGGGTGAATTTTGTTTTACCCATCTCACATGATAATTTCATTCTATGTCTTGAAGCTGTATCTTGAAGCAAAGCTAAGAATCTAATCTATGCTAAATCCATTGTTCTGTGGGATCTAGACTAAAGTTATTTTAATACTAATTTGGCTACATCTGCACTTGACATATTTCAATAAATAAGTAATCTCTCTAAGCTTTCTGTTACAGAGCTCCAAGGTCTCAGCTGAGAAGTTATTTGAATGTTTCCACAGATGCTAAGCTCTTTTTCAGGAGAAATATAACCCATAGGGAAGGGGGATAATGTTTCTCTTTCATAATAAAGAGACTTCTCTATTTTTGCAAGAGACTATTAGTAGTCTTGACTGTAACAGGGCAGAAAAAGCGTGTCAGTATCTTGCATTAGCAGGTTCTTCAGTTATCCCCTAAAGAATTTAACTGTGGAATGACTTGATGTAGCAAAATCTCGCCAATGTTGTGTTCAACATTGTTGAGATGCACCTACCTCACAGAACTCTCGTGTTTCATTCCATTTTATGAATATAGAAATGTGTCTGTACATTTCTGTGCTGACGGTATTTTATTTCATGGTTTCATGCTGACAGCGAACATCTTTGCACGCATCTCCTTGCACACGTGGGCCCGAGGCAAAGACTAATACTGAAGGTGGCTCTAGCTGCAGGTGCTTCATTCGGCAGCTGACGGCTGGATCTGCTTCTCAAGTGTGAAACCACCTTCCTTCGTCTTTGCTAGAATTATTTCCATTGTAACACGCACATGGAAAATACGATGCCATCAACACAGTTAGTCTCAGAGTTATTGAACAAAGCTGTTTTGGTTGTATATGATATACAAATCCACATGTATGCCTACACAGAGCCAGTGTGTGTGGCATTGTTTGTACAAACGATGGTTTATGGTAAAAAATACCTGAAAATCCCTCATGCCACATGGAGAAGTAGCATGGTGTCACTAAACTTCCATGCGGACTCGCAATGGGGTACTCTAGTTGATGAATAAGTTTCTGCATCTGCCTGGATGTCAGGAAATTCCCTTTTCTCCTCTCTTCAACACTTAATATTATGACACCGTTATCCCCAACCTAATGGACTTTAAATGGTGCCTATCAATGAAAAGCCATTCGAATACATAATGAAGGACATGAAAGTACTTTAATACCCTTCAAGGTTCGGATAGATACAGCATAGCTGAGAGGCCACCATGGAGGACAGGAGAATAGCCAGCCCACCTGTGGTGCCTCCCGGCTTTCCAGAAGCAACCATTAGCCTTCACGACATTTTTCCTCTTTCCCGCTAACGCAGTTTCTGTTTCTCCAAGAAATTAGTAGACATGGAAGTCCTGGAAATATAAATATTTTCCTAATTGGGCAAGTAACCTAAAACAATGCTTCCAAGCGTGTCGACCCTAAGGTAAAACTCCTCTTGAGGTCACATTCGAGCTGTGTAGACAAAGCTTCAGCACATGATTTTTGGAAACGAAGCCTGACTGTGGCTGATTTTCGAGCTGGGGGCATGGAATGGAAGTCCAGCATCTGCTCGGACATTGTGGCGCGTGCCTCGGCAGGCAGGGGCTGCTCCGTGTAGGCCAGGGCAGACTTGGGTCTCAGTGCTGCCCAAGCCTCCCGGCCCAACACTGAACACAAGACAAAAATGTGGCAGATAACTTGTTTCTCTTGGTCATTACAAACAGCACCTTTATGTTTAGCTTTTAGCGGTCGGGCGCCCTCACGTCCCTTTGTAACTGCCTCTGCTTTTCTAAGACTGGGTCCCTTTCTGCTCATGGTCTGAAATTATCGCTGGCACAGGGGCCCGCGGCCGAGGTCTTCCTGGTGAGGTACACGAGGGGCGGGGAAGAGGGACAGCGTCTGAGTACCAGCGGGCACCGAAAGGGAGCCACGGCTCACCTGACGCCGAGGAGCTGCTTGGTCCAGGCGGCTTCTCCTAGTGGGTCCTCTGCGGGAGCAAAGGCATGAGATACTCACTGGGTGGGACGGCGCAGAGGACCCCGATTTCATCGGTCCGAGTAAAGCGGAGTCTGTGGGTCACACAAATGACCGCTCAGTGCTTTTCCTCTGGCACAAAACTGAAATGTCCACACCAGCTCCAGGGTTCCGGGTAGGAGCAGTGGCTGGGGCAGAAACCAAACACGGTCCCCCCAAAGCAAACGGGGCCAGGCCTGAAGACGAAATCTCACCCCACTTAAAATGGTGAGAACGCTGTCTGATCTGCCCTGAGGGCATGAAGGAAAAGCGACAGAATCAAATCTCTAGAGACCCATCCGCTGCCACGCTGGCAGCTAAGCTAGCGTTCTGGCCAGAGGCCCTGATTCTGAGATAGCCCTGAATTTTGGACAAATTAACTATTTCTTTAATACAGTGGCGTCCTCTGCTAGGAGACCTCTCGTCCAACTTTCTTTGTGCCTGGAAATACCAGTTCACACCAAGTTCTGTTATGTCCAAGCCCATCTTCCTTCAACCAGGCTTCCTGGGAGAACCCGCCTGAGCTGAGGAACAGAGAGGGTGCTCTTTCCTGGGGTGGGGCTGCCTCCTCACTTGATCATCTGGGTCTCTTCATCGGCATCGTAGAACTCCTCTTCCTCCTCACTCTCACTCCCCAGAGCACTTTCCTTGTGTGAAGACTGAAGCGGAAGAGGAGAAAAGGCAGTGAATTGATGTCTTGGTTCTGCAGTGACTGTTACTTCCTAGCCACTCAACAGAGTGTTTTTATGACTCTATTTCCCAAAGAATTAGGCCCTTCGAGGGTTCTAAGGCAGCTACTAAAATCCGTGATTATCTTTATTTCTCCTAGAAATCAGCCACCATTAGACTCCACCCTTGCTTCCTAGCAGTTTTCACTTGGTTCAGCTGCTCTCAGCAGAACATTCCTTTTCTCCCCAAACCAGGCTCATCCACAGGAGAGAACTATTAAGAAAAACATCATCGTACCTGAGGGGGTTCCAGGGTCTGTAAAGATAACGCTTCCTCCCCCAGCCTCCGATATGAACACACCTGAAGGTCAGAGAATGTCTCGAGCAAGGGACTATTCAGGGTTTCTGGCAACAACAAACTCAGGAGGCCGGAGGTCAGGCCTGTGGCTCCAAAAACAATGAAGGGCAGAGACCACTGCACATATCTCTGCAGGGCGGGAAGAAAACAGCAAACTCAGGGTTAGTCTGCTGCGGACGGCATCAGTGCCGAGGGTGACGGGCCGGGCTACTCATCAGGCTCATGCCTTCCAGCCAGCTACACTACAAATGCTTCCTGCCCCGTGGAGAGTCCCCGGGAATGTCCTGGTGGTCCCTGGGCGCGAAGACTCGGCAGGGGCCAGAGATCTGCTGGCGTGAGGATGAGGCGGAGCAACTGTTTTATGTGTGGTGGTTGTGGTGGGCTTGGCGAGACCCGAGCAGGCTAGAATTGTGGTCAGGGGCGTGGGAAGCCAGCACTCAGCCTCAGGCATTGCTCAGAACACAGAGACCTCCGAGTCTCTGCACATAATTGGTAATGATGAACTTTCAAGTTCTCAAACTGGACTTGACCAAACAATCCCATAAACACCCGCCAATTCACGTAGCCCGTAACTACGAGGCACGGGGTCAAAAGAAATATTCTTTCTCTCAGCACCATCCACGTTGCCCCAAATGGCATGAGTTTATCTTTTTGATCGCTGAGTAGTATTCCACTGTGTATCTAGACGGCATCTTCTTGATTCAGTCATCTGTTCTGGGGCATTTAGGTTGTTTTCATATCTTAGCTATTACAAATAGTGCTGCAATCAACAGGTGTGTTTTGTGTCCTCTGGGTAGATTCCAAAAGTTAGCAAACGAGTAAGAAAATAAATATATATATATATATATATTAAAAAAAAATAGAAATACCCTGACAATGAAAAGAAATCGCCAGAACCCTGGCACACACGTGGCTTTGAACTCCCCAAACTGAAGACCATAGCAAGCCAGCGACACAGGCACTTGCTTTAGAGATTCCAAATTTAAACAGATTCCTTAAATACAAACAGGTTCAAAGATTACGTTCCTTGTGGACTTGCTCTGGGGCTTTTCCCAGCTGACTAACATTCCTGAATTCCTGCACACGAGTCACTTGG